AAATGCAGCTTTTCAAAAATTAAAGTATGGAAATTCTCAAAAAAATAAAAAGAAATAAAAAGAAAAAAAATCCATTGACCAAAAGTGAGTCCTTTACACAGAAACTCTGCTTTCATGTTGGACTGTCATCTCAACAAATTGTGAACAATTATTCCTGGTGCTGAGGAGTTAGCAGCCACAAGCACCTTATGAGAGTGGACCTAAGCCACCATGATCTGCTTCCTTATATAAAAAGTAAATTGGAGGCAGATGTGCACAAGGGAAGACGGTGTGAAGATATTCTGGAGGAGCTGGCCAAGGGATTGAGTTCTGGGTCCATAAGCCAAGTGTAAAACCAAAACTTATAGCCACTGGAAGCAGGAGGGGCAGAAGGATTGGCCTGGACCACTCTGGGAAGATGTGGTCCTAGTAAGACCCCAAATGGCTCCTGGATGATGAGACAGTGGATTCCCATCTAAGTGATCTAGTTGTCACTACTTTATTACAGCTTGCCTAGGACCATACTATAGATGGGTAGAATAGAAGAATCATAATCCAATTATCCTATTTTAATCTTTATCAGCTCTTTCCCAAGTAAAATATAAAATCTGGGATAGTAAACAGTGATTTGGTAATGATGAATATTAAATATGAAATCTGTTATATTTGGCACAGATTTTGAACAGGGTTTGAATAAAAATATCTGAAGATTAAAGTTCACTTTTACTATCTCTGGGAGAGTAGCTGAAATGTGTAAATAGCATAGGAGCTTTAAAGAAAAATGATAAAATGAAAATAATTTTAAGTTGCCTCTATATGATCTTCAAATGTCATTATCATCAATATTTTAGTAACAAACTTCTATTCTGCCCAATAGTGAAAGAAAGCTACTAGTCTAGGTAAATTCATCCCTCATGGAGCTACTAGGAAAGTATAATACTTTTAGTGAGTCATTTAGACAAACCGTGTAAAGCAAGCCACAGACGACCAGCCATTCAAAAAGCACACAGTGAGTTAGAATTTTTATAACTTCAATATCAATTAATCACTGATGGTGACATTGACTGGTAAAGACTCAGAGGGAGTGGGGTGTGGGGTGTTTACCTACCAATCCCATAGCTCTCCAGAGTTTTCTTGAGTGCAAGCAGCAGGAAATATTAGATAGAAGCATTTAGATTGTGGAGATATACAGAAATATAATACAGAATATACAAAAAAATATACAGAAAATACAGGATAGCCTCGAGAGGGCCTGGAACTTATTCCAATGGGCCCTGACTGTCTCTGTCTCAGGGAGACATGCCAAGGGGTGGAGCAAAAGATCTCCCCCCAGCACAGCCAAGTGCAGACCATCTCAGACACCTGCACTCAGGTCCGAGGTCCTAATCATCCTCTATTCGGACCTGCTGGGTAAAGCCACGAGGAACCTGAAAATGGGCTCCCACAGTGGGGCACACACTGATAGCTGCTGGACACTCATGTCTCAACATTTTAGAGCTGCATCATCCCTTGGAGTTCACCTGGCAATTGCAGTTAGCCCTTTTATGGTACAGAAAAGCTGATTAGAACAGGAAAACTGATTGATGAACCAGTCTGGCATTAAAGGGGTTAATTAAGACAATGCATGGCAGAGTTATCAGGAGACTGAAGTCAATGGATTCTGAGCTGAAGAAAGGCCAAGGAGACACAACTAGAAAGCCTGAGTGCAGCTGGAAGAGATCTGGCAGAATCTAGGTCAGAGGCAAGTTGGGCGTGAAAAATTCAACGGAGTCTTCAATGAAAACTGTTCCCCATAGGCTTGTGAATTTGAGTGCTTGGTCCCCTGTGGGTGGCACTGCCTAGGGGAGGTTATGAACCTTTAGGAGGTGGATCCTTGCTGAAGGAAGGGCATCATTAGGGGGTGGGGTTTAAAGGTTTAAACTTTATTCCACCCCTTGCTGTCTCTGCCTCCTGTGCAAGGACAGAAATGTGGTCAGCCAGTTTCCAGCACCGGATACCATGACAGGCCTTCCCCTGCCACTCTGAACTCTCTACCCTCCTGGAACCATAAGTTAAAATAAACCCTTCCCCACTGGAGGGACTTGCCCCCAAGGCAGTTTGTCACAGCAACAGAATAACTGATACAGCAACCTTGCTTCGAGGAATTCTGTCAGAGGCAACCACTCTTCTTAGCAGCTCCCAGTCCACTGTGGATTCTGAGCAGGAAGCAGGGAGGGTCTCTGCCGGAGGAGTTGGCAGGAGAGCCCCACCAATGTTCCAAGTAGGACTTGGCAGGAGCCAGGCTCCAGGGTCCACAATGGGCATCCCTTTATGTATAGACTCTGGACAAATTTTGTTATTTGCAAACACTTGTCACTCGAACAGATTTTAGGAGGGAAGGCATTGTTGTGTGACACCTCTCTCTGACCTCTCCTGAAAACATAACAAGTCAGAGCCGATTCACAAGGAAACCGTGGCAATGTTCACGGTGAAGGCTGCAGACAGGGGCACTGAGTGCCCGCTTCTCCCCTTGTGAGACTTAGCTAGAGTTGTGTAGTGGGTAAGCCATTCCAACCCCCATTGAGGCTTTGGTAACTGTCACGCCTACAAGGCGGGGCCAAGGGAGGACCCTGAAGACCCAAGATCTGGATGCATGCACCAGCCCTCTTGGTTCCTGGACCCTGGACACTGGAGGTAGACCGAGCAGAGTTCTCCAGAGAACACCTCCGGACTGTGTCATACCTTTCCCAGACCCTGTAAACTATCCCTTCATGTGTAAGTTACCCCACAAAATAAACCTCCCTTTTAACTATGTGGAGTGGCCTTAATAATTTCACCAATAGAGTTGCACCAGAGCAGGTGAACTGTCACTAGAGAGTTCTCAAGGGCCTGGTTTGGGTGACAACCTGAGGTACCCAACACTGCCACAGATGGAAGCAACATTCCGAGAGGAAAGGGAAGCTTGGGACTGAAACTGCCCCACACCTATCTCAGAGACTTGGAAATCCTGCAGCGTCCTCTGGGTGGAAGGGTGAGCCTAACCTTGCCTCCATTGGGAGGCCCTTCAGAATCAGGTTCCAGGGTGTCTGAGGCTAATAGGTTCTCAGGTAACATAGTCAGAGAATGCATCCAAAGAAAGGTCCTGGGTGGGCTGCAGATACATTCACATTCCACAGCACTCTGGTTTATCCAGAGACATCATTCCTCCCACTTCAAGTCTGAAGAAGGCAGAATCCACATAGGTTCCTGGGCCCTCCAGTTCCCCGCTGCTGTGGAATAATCCTTTTGTACACTGTAGCTATGTACTTCTTTCATTGTTGATAAAAATAAAAGGCTGATTGGTCTATAGCTGGGCAGGAAGAGATTGTGCGAGATAGTCCAAGGCAGACAGAATGCTGGGATGAAGAAGGATGGAGAGTCACCAGCCAGATGCAAAGGAAGCAGAACATGTAGAAAATGAGTTAAAAAGCTATGAGCCACATGGCAGCACATAGATTAATAGAAATGGGTTAATTTAAAATGTAAGAGGTAGCTAGTAACAAGCCTGAGCTATTGGCTAAGCACTTATAATTGATAATAAGTCTCTGATTCAGTTACTTGGGAGCAGGCAGTCAGGACAGGAAACTTCTACCAACAGCCTGCTTCTCTTGTCTGACTTTCTCCCAGCAAGCATTTATTGCCTCAGTTATGGAAGGCCCACACTTCACCTCCAGATGTTTCTCTGAAGAGACATTGGTTATATCTGGAAAGATTTTTTTTTATGTAACAATGGCATCAGAAATGTTGCCTCTTCTACCTTGTATCTGACAGTGCACAAAAGAGTCCCCGAGAACATTGAGAGTTGTCATGGATGTCTATGTTGGTCAAGGAGACAGACATTCAAAGAGGAAAAACCTTTTTGTATATTCCTGTAAGCCTGACCCAAAGAGATGCCTCATGTCACCAGAAGTTGCTAGGATCTCTTTCAAAGAACTAAGCATAGAGCCAAGAGAGGTTTCCTAAGGATTGTCCTCTATGTTGTCTGTACTAGTGTGGAGAACACCTCCCAAAGACACACTCATTTGGAATCTGTCAATGTGAGCCTATTTGGAGGAAGAGTCATTGCATGATAGTTATACAAAGGACCCCACAGTAAGATCATTGTGACTTAATGTGGTAGATCTATCTCCAGTGACTTGTGTCCTAAAAGGAGATGGAGACTTGTGATACCCAGACACACGGAGACGTTCCTGTGGAGATGGTGGGAGAGCTGGTATAATGAGTGAAATAACAGCAAGGAACATCTAGAGCCAGAGCGGCTGAACAAGTCAACCATGACCTCCATCCTGATTTCAGACTTCTGGTGTCTACAGCTGAGAGAGAATGGGTCTGTGCAGTTGTTAGCCACAGACTTTGTGATACTTTGTTACGGCAATCTTAGGGACACATTATTCTATAAGGACATTGTATTCAGATTTAGTTTATATTCTTTCTGAAGACCAAGCCTAGTTTGACTATGAATTCCACATAAATTATATTTGTAAGTTAAGTGTGTTGCTGATGAGCTAAATGACTCCCACAAGCAACGATGAATTCCAGCAAAAGAAATTCACACATGATGCATAACACTGACGACAGAGTCTGATTTCAAAGAGCTGACAGATTACAGGGAGCAAACTTACCTCTCTAAGTTATGTGAACAGTGCCAACAGTGCCAGAAAAACCACCTTAGGAAATTTAATATGACTGTTCTTCAGAATAAAAAAAAAACATTACCCAAGCCCTCAAATATCCCTTCTGGCAGGTGTTAAAAATTTCAATTGGGAATAGCATGAGTCAATATAATAATAATAATAATAATAATAATAATAATAATAATAATAATAATAATAATAATATTGTGTAACTGAAAAGCAGAACTTGTGAAAACAAGATTCCAGTCCAGACAAACCCACATAATTCAAAGTATCCTTCAATGATTCTGGGCAGCCAGTTCCTAGAAACAATGACCTCTGTTGATTCTAATTCTAGAACAGACTCCCCATAGTGACAAGAGGGTTGCAAGGTGCCTAGAGCCGGTGCCATCTTTCCAGCGTAGGTCCGCAAAACAAAGAGCAGCCCAGGTTCTGAAGGGCACATTGCAGTGTCATTAACAAGAACTGATTAGGTAATTTTGCATCGTTTACAATACCTCCAGACCAAGAAAATCTGTGTAATTTTTTTTCACTGACTTGTCCAACTGAAAAACAGGTATATGAGTTGACAGTGCCTTCTGTGAAAAATTACCATAATCATGGCGGTGTAAGTGAAAGTAATTATATTCTCTGGAAGTTCTGGGGAGAAGTCAGAAATCAGTATTACAGGGGCAAACTCAAGAGGCTGGCAGAGCTGTCCTCCTTCAGGATGCTTGAGACAATAACTCTTTCTTGCCCCTTTAGGCTCTAGCTGCTGCCATGATCTTACTCTGGACCTATCATTTCAATCTTCATTCAAGGACTTTTCATGTCCCTGTGAATACCCCCCAGGTTTCTGGATTTTTGTGTAATTCTCCCCTACAGAGCTTTCAGAAATAGTACTGAGCTGTACTTAGGGGCCACAGAGGTACTCCAGGATGCCCCTTCCATCTCAAGCTTCTTAATGGGGTCCCATACACAGTCACATTCCAGGTCCCAGGGACTAGGGCACAGTATCTATTGAAGGAACACCATTTTCCTGTCTGCTGTAGTGTGTCCTTGATAATACTGTGAGCAGCACAGGACCCTGAACATCCTGGGAAGACCAGAAACATGGAAGAACAGATACCCTAGACACACTGATACTTGTTGCTCAGTTAACCTGGCTGCTGTTTTCCAGATACATGACTATCCCTACAAACTTGAAGCAGCACTGGGACCATACCGAATCCAACACCTGCTTCTCCTTTACAGTGGGGCCAAAAAGCTAGTGACTAAGACAACACATCTCACATCCCACTTATTTCTATGCACGTATCACTTCTGCTCACAAACCTGGCTCATTCATAGTAGGGCTTAGTACAGATGTCATGGACCATCAAGATGTGGGTCTCAGAGCAGAAGCAGAAAAACTACCATTGGTGCTGGAGACACTTAGAAAAAGAAAAGCCATTTTAAACTGATGCCAAATCAGTTGCTGTAGAAATTAGAAGTCTCAAGTCCACTTGCTGCATATAGAGGGATGTACGTGGATGGTAAGGGGCAAGAGACAAACATCATTCAGCATTTTGACCCAAAGTCTAGATGAGAGGACATGAACCTTTGACAAACTATAATTATAATGCAGAAAAAAAGTTTCAAATCAGGTGTGAAAATTTTGCATTTCTTCATAAACTTGTAAATTATGCATCCATGTGCACAGATAACAACACAGACGGATGGCAAATTGGGAAATTATATAAAATATGAAAAGAAGATCCAAACCATGCAAAACATAGACATGGCCTCTTAACATTTACTTTAGGAGAAGGAGAGGGAGAGAGGGAGGGAATGAGGAAGGGTGGGAGGAATAGAGAGAAAGAGAGAGAGGGAAGGAGGGAGAGAGGGAGGGAGGGGGAGGGAGGGAAGGAGGCAGAGGGAGATAGAGAAACGGGTAAGAAGAGAGGAAGTGAATACACAGGGTCAATTTGACAAGATGGACTGCTTTTTGTATTTCCTAATCATACATATCAGGTCCTAAAATGTCTCCATAATACACAGTAAATAAAAAGAATCTGAAACATAAGGGTTAAATCATTGAGGGTATGGATTATTTTTCATCACATTTTTTTAGAGCACACTTTTATGGTTGATATTTAGTCAGACTTGAAAGAAGGCAAAATCAAACATTGACAACTACATTTAACAAACCCTATAGACTTACAAAAGGAAATGGGGAAGCTCGCTTGCTTTTAGCCTGATGCTCAAAGACACACAGAGGGGAAGGCTGGGCTTGGCTGAGGCAAAGCATCCCATTCAGAAGACAAAAATGACTTGTTGGGGAAAAATAAAGTAGACATCATGGAAAATTGATAGTATCACAAACTATAATAAAGCCCTAGAAACCACATGTAGATAAATACTGGAATCTTTATATTCTGCACAAATTTGCTCTCATTGCTTATATTCCAAACACATTACCACCTGTGAAATTTGCATTTGGGGCACACTTTTCCAGTGTGTCTACTTTCTCCAATATAGTTTTCCATCCCCATCTCCCCAGGGTAATTTGTATTGCATTGCTGTGTTTTGAACTGATAAAAAATAATCTTGATAGAAATTGCCGCTCTCCCACTCTGAACCTGTGACATGGGTAAAAACACATGTCCTTCATAAAGCCAGTTTCAGAAAGCATCTAATTTCTTTTAATTTTTTAATGAATTGTATGCATGAAATAGACTTCATTTTCTGCAATCTCTTTTTGGATGTGTTTGCATCATTTCATCTCAGCCTTTGCGTGTCTTATTGACAGAGTAGCTTCTTCTTATTATTACTTTCACTAATGTTAACCCTGAACTTAATTTAAAATAAATCTATATGATATGAAAAAAATGAATGGCATATACTGGCTAAGCTGTAGTTTATCTATTATTGGCTCAGAGTACAAACTCTGAATCTTTAACTGGTTAGTTTTAATATTTCTCTTGAAATCTAAACAATAATGCCAGCTACTATGTGTAGGCTTTTATTAAGTTGGAAATATCACTTACTCCTTTAAAATCGACTTCATTTCCCTATAAACACACTCTCCATTTCCCAAATTCTCAATACTGATCTAGCTTAATTCTGTTTAGACATGCTGTATTTACCCACCTGCAACTATGTACTGTAAATATTACACACAGATGGTCCTGGAAACAAGGCATGACTGCGTTTTCCTCGGAATAACCTTTCTCCATGGAGTTAACATCCACGCTGTGTATGTAATCACTTCTGGTCTGTCTCAGGAGCACACTTGCAAGTTGCCTTTTCCTAAACACATGCTCACAGCTCCGGTATTCATGGTCCTGGGTTCCCTGGAGAGCAGCTCCTGGTAGTTCTGTTGCCCATGCTGCCCTCGGGCCTGCAGTGCCTGCCTCTGACTCCACCCTGTGTGCACCCAGGCATCTTCTTTCTTTGCCAGTGGAGTCTGTATTTCTGGGACTTAATGTCCTAATCACACACTGTTCACATAGGTCCCTTAATTTTTTTTTACGTTTTATTGAAAATGGATTTTTTTTCCCCTTCACGTAATGTATTCTGATTACAATTTCCCCTCCCTTGACTCCTCCCTGTTCCTCCCCACCTCCCTGCCCATCTGGATCCACCCTATTTCTGTCTCTCATTAGAAAACAAAAGAGGCTTCTAAGGGATGATTAATCCAATATAAGGATATAATATGATAAAGCAAAACTAACACATTAGAATAGGAAAAAGCAAACAGAAGGAAAAGAGCCCAAGAAAAGGCACAAGAAACAGATATAGATGCAAAGACTCACTTGTTGCACACACTCAGGAAACCCATAAAAATACTAACTGGAAGCCATTACACACACACACACACACACACACAGAGACACCACACACACACACACACACACACACACACACACACACACACACACACACACAGGGCCTGTAGGATAAAAAAGAGAATATATATATTGAACAATAAAGTGGAATAAAACAAAAAAAAAAGAAAGAAAAAAGGAAAGCCCCCGACAGCACATGAGAAGACAAGGAACGTCTGAAGATGCCACTGAGCTCATTTTCTGTTGGTCATCCACTGATGGGCAGACAGCCTACCTTCAGAGCAGTTAGTTTCCCCAGTGAGACACTTTTAGAGAAAACTAAATTTTCATTTGCAATTGGTTTTCAAATAGCGATAGTAGGGCACAGGCATGTGTCCACTTCTCCTTTCAGCTCTAGGACCCATCTGATGCAGACCCATGCAGGCGCTGTGTGTGCTGCCTCAGCCTCTGTGAGTTTAGGTGTGCATCCATCATGTCGACTCAGAAGGCCTTCTTTCCCTTGTGTCCTCTGACACTCTTCCTGCTCCCTTTTCTCCCAATTTCCCTGAGCTCCGAGGGAAGGGATTTGATGGAGATATCACAGGTACAACCACGTGTTCCAAGGTCTCCCACTCACTGTGTAACATCTGGCTATGGGTCTCTGTATCTATTCTCATCTGCAGCAGAAGGAAGCTTCTCTGATGAAAACTGAGCAAGGCAATGATCTGCTTCCTGGCTGGAAAGGAGTCTCTTGATTTCCCATCTCACAGTCTTTGTTCCTCTTTGGGGAGTTTTGTGGTGGTAATCTAATTGTACTGAATTATTATTTTGATTGTATGTTAATAAATAAAGTTGTCCGGGGGTCAGAGCTATTAGAGCCATAGCAAGAGTGTGGCGGTGGTGGCACACGCCTTTAATCCCATAAGATCTCTTTGTGTTCAGGGATATAGCCAGCATTAGAGACATATGCCTTTAAGACCTAGGGGGCTGTACATTCAGACAGTGACGAGGCAGTCATGTGTTTGGGTTTACAACCAATGAGAAGGCAGAACAACATACTATAAAAAAACGAACCGACAGGAAGTAGGTCTCTTTTCGCGAAGCTGGGACAGCAGGAGGAAGGGTGAGATTTTAGCTCTGAGCTCTGACCTCTCGGCTTTCTCTTTTACATTGTTTCTGTGTTTCTTATTTAATAAGACGGTTGGTTACATCTACAGAGTTTATTAAATTTATTAACCGGTATTGTCAAGCTTATGATCATATACTTTAAAATGGCATCTGAAGGCTTTTCAAATAAATTGAGTATTTAAATATTTTTTCTCGCTGCTCTATGAGTGCATTTGATTCTCATTCTCTCTCTCTCTCTCTCTCTCTCTCTCTCTCTCTCTCTCTCTCTCTCTCTCTGTGTGTGTGTGTGTGTGTGTGTGTGTGTGTGCTGTCTAAAATTTCCTCAGATATGTTAAACAATGTCATTTGAAGCCAATTTCTGCTAACTTTGCTGGTTGGGCTAAATACAAGCATTGTTCTACTGTTTAAGTCTGTCATAGGGTCTGCCTCTTCCTGAATCCACTCTGCTTTCCTGCACCGACAGAATAGAGATGAAACACCTTGAGAGTGGATTCTCTCATTTTTTAGGGGAGAGGAAGATGACACACAACTACTTCAGTCAAGTAGGGACTGAATGAATCTCAGACAAGGTTTAGCCCATGTAGCATGAATTGTTAGAAGGTCTTATTAATAAAAACAAACCGGGAGCCAAGTATTGGGGTGAATGTGAAAGATCAGAGAAACAGAACCAGCCACAGCTAACTTAGCCTCGCCAATTCCTCAGCTGATCCTGTTTTCTCAAACTGGAAGCCTCTGAGTCTTCATCTGAATTGATCTCAGCTGAACTGCTACTAAAAGCTAAAAGCTTAAAAAAGCTCTAGTTCCTGGTCCTCATACCTTATATACCTTTCTGCTTCCTGCCATCACTTCCTGGGATTAAAGGCATATGTCACCATGCCTGGCTGTTTCCAGTGTGGCCTTGAACTCACAGAGATCCTGATGGATCTCTGCCTCCAGAATGCTAGGATTAAAGGTGTGTGTGCCACCATTTTCTGGCCTCTATGTCTGTCTAGTGGCTGCTCTGACCCCAGATAAGTTTATTAGGGTGCACGATATACTGGGGAACACAATATCACCACAAGCCTGCGAGTTTGATCTTCAGTGGACCCTTTATCCATTATTCCACTCTCCAAGCTTTAGTTACATAAAATCATCTGTGGTTTAAAAATATTAAATGGAAAACTTCCAGAAAAAAATTAATAAGTCTTTTAAGGAATTTTGAAACTTTCCCTCTTAATTTTTAATTCTTTTTTAAGACTAAAATATGATTATATCATTCTCCCTCCTCCCTCCAGTCTTTCCCATGCCCTTCCTTCCTCCTGCTCTTTTCAAATCCATGGCATTTTACTCTGTAATTATCATTGTTACATAATGCACATAAGCAAATAAATATATAAATGTAACCTGCTGCATCTAATTAGTGTTGCTTATATGTGTATTTTTAGGACCAGGAAGTCTACAAGACTGTCTTCTGTATATGACAGGGAAACTACACCCACAAAATCTCAACAATATGGCTGCTTAAACAAGACCTGAACAATCCCGACACCAGCTGACATGCTGACTGCTGACGTGGGAAAGGAAAATTGCACCAGGCTGAGCCCATGGATGGCTCTTCATCTACAGGCAATTAACAAGTGCCAAGAGGGGAAGAATGAGACTTCCCCAGAGTTAAGCACACTAAAGGATCACAATCGTGAAATCCATGCTTTCTCCCTGGATGCCATCTTTGACATGGTTTCTCCTATGTGCATGAGGGTAATCTCCCACCTCTGAGCTGCTTACCATATGTCTCAGTTATGACAGAGACAGAGGCGGCTTGAGGGTGCCTGCCACCTATTTGGAGAGGGAGAGACAAAGTTCGCATACCTCACATGCTTTTGTCACAGCATATTCTTATAATTGTATGAATTCTCATCTGGGTGTATAAATAAACTAGTGTGTGGTGTATGCATGTGTATGAGGGAGTGAGGGGATATATGAATTTGATACACCCTTGGAGGCCAGAACTCAATATCAGATGCCCTCCAACATCATTTTCCACCATCTTGTATTATTATTTGTTTGTGTGTTTTCTAGACTTTGTTGATCTGGGATCCTCATTTCTCAACCCCAAATATTGGGATCATGAGCACATGTACAAGTCCACCTCTTATGTGGGGCCTGGGGATCCAAAATCAGGTCTTAATGTTCATATAGCAAACACTTCAGGCTTTTGGTGATCTCCCCAGCCAACTGGACTATTTTGCTTTTGCCAATCAGTCACTATGCTGAATTTATGAACTAAACTTACTATGTGGGAAAACCCATTATTTACAGAATTTGTTGGGCCCAGGTCATTCACTCACTGGGTGACTTGGAATATATTTCACTTGGATAAAGGGTGTTACCAATGCTTCTCATCCATCCTAGTTCCTAAGCTCTGGCTTTTCTAGTTTCAATCAAGAATACACTTGGAATTTATACCCTCAGAATTTCAGTAACATAGCTAATTAATTTTACCGTTTTAGGCTAGAAATTCTATAGCTGAGCCCTCATAATTTCAAAGTTTAGTATTTATTACAAGAAAGAGGTATCATGTGTTCACAATGAATTGAGACTCCAGTGCACATCTTTACGGCCCTTGTCAATATATGGTTCCTCTTTGTCAGAGGCAGCTGTCTCATCAAGACTTAGTTTCTAAAGTAACCCAACATAGTTTTATCCTGTTTTAGTTTCTTCTGTAAGGTAATGACCTTTAAATCTTTTCTATTGCTCCAACATGACATATCTGGTGAGAGCCATGGTACTCACTGACATTTGGTCTTCCATCTCGCACAGAATTGCTACAGCACTTTGTTGAATGCCATGCAATGTAGGGCTTTTAATCTGTGTGGTTTTGTATTCTTTGCACTGTTCCTCTTTCTTCTGAAGTAATTATCTCTGGCTGTTATCTAGCATACTTAATGTATTTTAGTTTACAATTTTCCACATTCAGTTTACAAAGAGAGGATGCATCCTGTTCTTGAAAATCTTCACACCCATCATCTATCTATCTCTCATCTATCTAGCTGGCTAGCTAACACTCTCTCTCTCACTATATATATACATATATATGTGTGTATGTATATATATATATATATATATATATATATATATATTGTATATACTCAAAATGTAAAGACTTCTTAAAGGACATACATTCATATATGTGTATATAAACATATATTATATTGTAATATATTACATATATTATAAACATATGTATACACGTGTTCCCTTTCTTATGTTTCTAGATGTTTCCATTGTTATACAACAGTTTTAGAATTAACCTATGTGTTGACAAAAAGGTGGTCACACAGTTTTCTTTCCACTATCTTCCTTTTTTTTTTTGGTTTTTCGAGACAGGGTTTCTCTTGTGTAGCTTTGCGCCTTTCCTGGAACTCACTTGGTAGCCCAGGCTGGCCTTGAACTCACAGAGATCCACCTGGCTCTGCCTCCCGAGTGCTGGGATTAAAGGCATGCGCCACCACCGCCTGGCTCACTATCTTCAATCATAGATATATTTTCTTGAAACTCAGATATATTTTAATTTTACCTATTTATTCAAACGACGCTTGAAATTATTTTAGCAAAGAGCTATGTAAGTACTCCTTGGAAATTATTGATAACATCCTAAATATTTATGTCCATGTTTGAACAGAATATACTACTCTCAGTAGGCAATGTCTTCATTCAAACTTCTCTGTGTGTTCTCTAGAGCATATTTACAGAAAAGTTGAGGATGCCTAAAAGTTGAATATGGCTGCATTAAAATAAAAAGTTAAATTTCTTAGTCAATCTATGTAGCGTCATGTGGTATCACTTAGTGTCCTAGGGCTACTATTCTTGTGATCAAGTACCATGACCAAAACAACCTGGGGAGGAAAGGGTTTATTTCATTCACAGTTCCATATAATAGTTTATCATCAAAAGCAGTTAGGGCAGGAACCTGGAGGCAGGAGCTGATGCAGAGGACATGGGGTGGGGGGTGCTGCTTATTAGATTGCTTATTGTGGCTTCATCAGCCTGCTTTCCTATAGGATCCAGGACCATCAGCCCAGGATGGCACCACTCCCAATGGGCTGGGTCCTCCCCCATCAACACTAATTAAAAAATGCCTTACATCCCGAACTTATGAAGGCATTTTCTCAATGGAGCTTCCTTCCTTTCGGATGTCACTAGCTTTTAGTCAAGTTGACATCAAACTAGCTGGAACACTTGGTAAAGGGGTGATAGCACCAAAGCCAGTGAGACTTGATGTGCATAGACTGAGCATTTTTATCTAATAAAGAAGTAACATGCATACTATTAAAGCATCAATGGAGGGCATGGTAGAAGTCGTGTTTGACAGACATGCCCAGATAGAACGGTGCCCAGTACAACTGTATCCACAGCTTCTCTGTCTACTTCTATTGTGGTCTAGGTAAATCTATGACGACAAAACACTCATGGGTTCACAGTCACCAGATGAAGAGTTTCAATCCACTCACTCCACAGAGTGTCAGGGAGGTGTGACCCATGTTTTTTCATTTATTTTTCTCTTGGACTTTTCTTTTTTACTTACCCTCTAGGTAACTAGAAACCTCTAGCTTCCACCATGTATAATCTCTGGCCCATATAAGAAGTGTACTATTAAAGTTAGAAACAGTGGGGTTTCCTTATCTATCAGTATCAGCATCTGGGAAGAGACAGGATGGGAAAGGAAATGGAAACAGGGCAGAGAATTCCAGCCCGCACATCCTCCAGCAGTTATGTCAGATACCAGGCCCTTTTGAAAAGGAGAGCAAAAATGTATTCAGATAGTTGAATCAACCCTCCATTTACCTAGAGCCAGAGATTGTCAGACAGTGTTTGCTATTGGCTTATAGACATTTCCTGACCTCTTTTCATGAAACTAAATTATCTACACAGCTGAAGAAAAACATGCACGTATATTCTATCTATCATCTATCTATCTATCTATCTATCTATCTATCTATCTATCTATCTATCTATCTATCTATCATCTATCTGTCTGTCTGCCTATCTGCCTATCTATCTATCTATCTATCTATCTATCTATCTATCTATCTATCTATCTATCTATCTATCACCTATCTCTTTATCTGAGGCTGTGTGAAAAGCAGAAATTCACAAATGGCCAGACACAAAGACATAAAACTCCTTCATTTACTTCACTTGTTTTGATGACGGGCGTTTTGTTCTTGTGCGTTTGTTTGTTTCTTTTGAGCAGAGGTGACTGTGTAGTAAGGGTCTAGAATACTGAACAAACTTAAATAATATTCCTGAAAACTTTGAGCAGTATCCATTACACTGGATGAATTGGCACCTTGCCCGGGTCTGTGTACAGACCAGAGCACCCTGTCATTGGCTGAGACTCTCCCCACTTCTGGGGAATTACTCTTGGCTGATAAGAGTCACTGCACTGGAGAGTTATGTCACTTTGTCTCCAAACACAGCAAGACATAGGGTTAATTGAAGGGCATCAGGAACTGTGTGTAAATGGCTATCCTCTTTGCCCCAGCAGCATGAGCCTTGGGCTGATTTGTGGTCCTTATTGCCCTGTGTAATCTGGCTGAGGGTGTGCTCCCGCTCTGAGAGCAGCTTGGCCGGTTCCTTTTCTTGGCAATCTTCTCCAGTCCTCACCTGCTGAATCCTTACCTTCAATAGACGACACATCTGGATCCTTGTGTTAGAGGAGGGTCCAGGGACCCTGACCTTAAATTGCAGTATAAATGACAATTACACAGTAACATCTGCAGTTATAAAACAGGGGTCAATATAGGTAGCGTCACAAACGGTTCAAATGAGTACAGTACTAGATAGAGATGAAGCAGCCAGTTCATCTGAAGTCCTCCATACCCTCACTTGACCACACATGAATTGAACACCTTGATGCAGACACCTGTGCCCTGAGCCTGAATTCATCAATAAGATTAAATTGGACACAAACCTTAGCAATTCTCTACAACTGAGATGTTGCTTTCTAACAGCCGAATGCAAGGTAGGGGCACAATAAATGTGTGATCATTCTTATTGCCGTGATTGACATCATTATTTCACCATGATTACAACTTTAAAACTCTACCAAATAAACAGTACACCAAGTTAATGGGGACTGCTTTCCTTAAAGATGCAGAAACAGGGATCATTCAAGCAAAGACTGAAGGGCAAGTAAGCAGGATGCTTAAAATTCCAGGGCTGACAGGGACTTCAGGGATAATCCACAATTCTTGAGTCTCCTCTCCAAAATGTACTGTGGAGAAAATTGAGGTCCAGAGAGGTTAAGTGGCTTCCTCAGAGTACCATGCTTATTATTCACAAAAATGTCTGAGGCATGAATAAATCTGTTTGTGTACAGTAAAAACTGTAAGTGGGTAGGTTAGAGGAGGAGAACACAGAGGTGCACTCTTGGGCTCCGTCTTGCTCTCCTGGCTGTGTTGCTATTCCGTGCTCATGTGTGATGCCTGCATCTCCTGTTCACCCTCGATAGACAGAGAAGCCACATTTCCCAGCCTGCCTTGTAACTGTTGCAGAACACAGGACTAAGTTACAGCCAGTGGAATTTGACTGAGAACGGATGCTCATGCAGATCTCTGCTCACTCTCCCAGGCTACTCTGTGAAAGGTGGGTTGATAGTGATAGGGTCACTATCAACCAAAGCTCATGGTGTTCCCAAATGGCAACATGAAACAGAGCCCCACAAAGCCTGCCCTGTAATGTCAGGCGTGGAGAAATGAGTCTTACGTCTGTTCAAAGAGGGAGGGGGAAAGATTGTCTGTTGACAGGAGTCTACCCAACTTGGTAAGGATATTGTGGAACAAGTGAAAGTTCAGCCAGGCTCTGTGTGAAGCACAACTATTCAACAGCAAAACCTCCAAGAAGCTACAAAGGTAGGGGAAAAAACGTGTTTGAACAGACTGGTAGACAC